GAAACCCAGCCGCCGAGGCGGCGAACCGGCGGTTCAATTGAAATTTGGTTTTGGATTGGATAGATGGTGGTGGTGGAGCTTCCAGAGCCATGACGTGCCTCCTCGCTGCTCACTGACTCTGTGTCTGTCTGTTTGACTCTACAATATATTTATGTTTGGATTATTCAAGAAATTCTTTCATTTATTTATGTAATCTTTCTTTTTGCTATGTTTATTTGTTCACCATAGTTTGATAAAGGCCATGACTTGGTAAAACGACGTCCAAACAATCATTTAAAAATACACTCAGTTAACCTTAGTCAAATCGGTTAAAGTGGATGTGTTACTCACTCTGTACCTGAATTCGAATATCTCTTCTCATAATTTAGATTAAATTAAAGTAGAATATTATCTTTATTAAAGGTAGAATTACATTTTCATTCTCCGTTTGGATGAGGGAAAATAGCTCGAAATTTAGCTAAAAGTCGGGAATTTAAGAGGAGAAATTGACAATTCCCTTCTTTCTTTTTGCTATGTTTATTTGTTCACCATAGTTTGATAAAGGCCATGAGTTGGTAAAACGACGTCCAAACAATCATTTAAAAATACACTCAGTTAACCTTAGTCAAATCGGTTAAAGTGGATGTGTTACTCACTCTGTACCTGAATTCGAATATCTCTTCTCATAATTTAGATTAAATTAAAGTAGAATATTATCTTTATTAAAGGTAGAATTACATTTTCATTCTCCGTTTGGATGAGGGAAAATAGCTCGAAATTTAGCTAAAAGTCGGGAATTTAAGAGGAGAAATTGACAATTCCCTTGTTTGGCAATTTAAGCGTGGAATTTATTAAATGACGCGCGGGAAAAATCGTGGAAATTGAGGCATCAAATTCCCGAGTTTAATTTCCACCAAAATAGGCGTCATTTCACAATTTCCGTAGTGCAGGAATTCATATTTTCCAGTGTGCCAAAACTTACATAAATAAAAAGACTACCAAACTTTTCATTTAAAAAAAAAAAAAAAGTGCATGTCTCTTTGGATCAAATTTGAAGCTTAGTCTTCATGCCTTTCTCTCCTTCAATTTATGTTTTTTCTATTTTAGGGTTACCATGGCTTCTGAATGGCTATCAAAATTGGATGTTTCTGATTAAATTTATGAGTATGTGTTGAATGAGTTTTGTGATCTTTGCGGCACTATGGCTGGATTTTGGGAAGTTTTAACAAAATACTCTATGCCTGTGGATATTGGTGTATGATTTGTGTATATGGTATAGCTCTGTAGTTGTTTGCTAGCTTTATCGCTTTGTGTTATCGCATTTTTCAAGTTTTACTCTTCGTTTCCTTACTCTGAAGAAAAAGCCTATGCTGTTGAAAAGCTTTTTATGTACTCGGTAAGGAAACAAAAAACTTTGTTGATTGTTATATGTTGCTGAAAATCGATTTTGATCTTCTCTCATTCTGATTTGACTTTGATTATTTGTTTGGTAGTCTCATGACGATGCTAGAGGTTTTCGATTTAAAGTTATAGAAAATTGGGATGATATAGTAGATTTGTGTGGCAAAGATAGAGCCACTGGAGAGGACGCTGAAACAAGTGCAAATGCAACTGAGGTTATGACTCCTACTAATGAAGTTGATCATGTTGATTTGGATGGTGATACATAAGATTTAAAAGATATTCATGTTATTGATGATATTTCACCAACCTCAACAAATGGTCAAAAGAGAATAAATCGCGCATCAAATTCTTCTGATATTCTTCCTACAAAGAAAAGAGGTGTTGTCAAAGATGTTATTGTTGATTCAATTGCATATTCTGCTGAAGGCACTCCCAATTGAGAGAAAAAAAAAAAAGGGTATGTTGTTGATGTTTATTGCACATGGGGAGTGATTTGGTTTGCTAATATGCTTTGTTTGTTTAAGTTGAGTTATTTAGTTCATCAAACGATATGTTATTTTATACTTCGAAGAATACCTTCTATGTCGGTTATCAATTTTTTTGTTCTTTCGAAATATTTAATTTCTGTCATTTACAATTTACAT